GGAGCTGGCAACTCCGTTTGGCGAAAGGGCGGGCCTGCTTGTTAAGCCCTACAAGGGCCTGTGCTTCCTGCCCACAGAGAAAGGGAGAGAGTGCAAAAAGTGTCGCTACTCTTTGAAGACTGCTGACAAACATTAATTTTGACGCATGCACATGGACCCGCCAGAGAAATAGTTACCTATTTGACGAGATAGTAGTGAAGTGAGCTTCTAGATAAAGATATATTTCAGCATAAGTTGAAGAAGCGCTGCATCGCCCTACACGAGCAGGCGCAAGGACTGAAGGCATTCCACGCAAAAAATCCATGAAGAGAGCGCCCATACGCTCCCAGCAAACAGCGCGGCTTTCTCGCCCGGAGTGGACACGTAGTGTCTCAGGCCGTAGCGAATTTCACCAGGAAGCAATCGGAAAAGGGGTCTGATTCCTCGCGCCCTCCAAGATGAAGGTCAGGCACACCTTTTGACGGGCGGGCCAAGTCGGCCACCCCACGCGTTCACCCGGTACAACCCCCTGAAGCAGGGGTTGATTTTGCCCACCCAGATCACGTTTTGGCAATTGTGCAGTAGTTTTCATGGATTTTTGCGTGGAATGCCTACAGTCTTGTCCAGGATGACATTGCGAACAAACCCAGACGCTGGCGCACCCTTTCGAACCCCCCAGGGTCCTTTAAGGGGCCTAACTGCACAAAGCGTTCAAAAGTGCCGTAAATTTGTTGAACAAAACGGTTTTTTTGGTTCCGTTTTCGGCTGTTTTTAATGGCACGGGTGTTTATCTGTCAATCTGAGTATTGTTACGAAAAGTTTGACTCAGAAACATGCGGTTTAGGGGCGGATCCAGAAAGTGGGGTTTAGGGGTGGTAGCTTTCGGTGGGCCTGGGGTGGTTGGAGGGGGTGGAAATCACTGCTAAACGGTAGGGGACATTAAAACATTGAGCCCACGTCACACGGCGACCGCCGGCGCTCAATTTTACCCAAGGGGCCGTCTTTAAATGATCAATTCATGATTCGTCAATTAAGGGGTGGTTAGGAAGGGTTGGAAGGTCACAAGGGCGGTTTTTTGACACGACATTATGTCGGCTATACCTAGGAGAGTACTCCCCTAAATTTTCAGCCGGTTCCGACCCCCCAATCGGTCAGGGGAGCGTCACAAAGCAACCTCTGTTTCATAACCACACTGCGAAGTGTGGTGTCGCGATGCGTTAGGCCCCACAGCTCGCGAACTGTTCGAGATCAAGGTGTGCGCTTTTAGGTGTCTGTTGCCAACATATAAGCCAATCTCCCTGCCAAACGGCAACCTCCTACCTCATCGCACGTAGGAATTACGCCCTGTCAAAAATGTAGTGCTTTAATTTTGCTCACGAGTGTAGATAACCGGCGCCCTGCAACTGAGACCAGGTATGCAGCGATTGAATTGCATGAAATTGACGAAACAGTCTGCCATTGAACGTGTGTTCCTAGGGAACAGACCCTCTTTCTTCGAAACCCAAGAAGTGAAATGCACACAGAACAACACGCTGATTTCATAGCTGTGTTCAGCTTTTGAGTTGGTCTCTCCGTTTTCTCACATTAAGGACGACAAAATGGCGTTTTCCGGGGTAAAGCCTAAATGACGATCCTTGTTTCAGAGCGGCATCAGAGTTTTCACCCGCTGATTGAACAAGGGTTGCTAACCTACACCCTAAATAATAATCGAGGATCGACGAAGGGGTGCGAACCCACCCCCCTAAAAACACAGAGGATCGAACAAGGGGTGCAAACCCACCCCCAAAATTATCGAGGATCGATGGAAGGGCGTAAGTCAAGGGTGGTAACACAACCTAAGCGAGACACGTATCGACACGTCATGACACGACACGTATGGACACGTCACGGCGCGTATGGGTGACACAAAACCCTAATGCGACACACACATAAGCGAGATGTCAGGATGGTCGAGTGGTTAAGGCGCTGCCTCAAGTGCAGGTCCCACCTGTGGGGGACGGGGGGTTTGAATCCCTCTCTTGACATTTTGAATTTCCGCGCGCGCCTGAGTATGAAAACGTTTGTGGAGAGCCGGGACGGACGCGCGGCAACGCTGTAGCGCGGGAGGCGACGCGTCCTTTCCCGCCGCGAGACGCTACCCCCCATCGTCGCGCTCGCCCCTCCACCGCCCCGCCAGCGCTCCCCGCGCTCGACGGCAGCGCGTCGCGCCCGCGCAGCGCTCAGTCGTTTGTGAGTCGTTGACCAAAGAGGGCATAGCGATGGCGGGTAAGAATGTGTTAATGGTAGTGGACTTGATCGGGCACGAAGAAGTTGATATCATCAATGTCGGCCTGGCCTCTTCAACGAAAATCTTCTCGAATCTTCACACTCTTCACTTGTTTTAACCTGTCGGGGAATAGTCTAGAAGCGATTGCGCCGTGCCGCGCCGCGCCGTGCCGTGCCGCGCCGTGCCGTGCCGCGCCGCGCCGTTCGGCGCCGGAGTGTATGTCAGATCCTCGGATATGGATCGCCTGAGGAGGTGGGCCCGGGGAGGGCAGCGGTGTGGTGTTGGGCTTTCTTTCGACGAGAATCTTCTCGAATCTTTGAACCCTTCAGCATGTTTGAACTTGTCGCGGTTTGCGAGGGCACAAGAAAGGGGGTGGCAGCTTTGCTGTGCAATGCGGTGTGTCACGGCGAGGGACGAAGGGACGGGGTGAGGACGCTTGCGCAAGGGGAGAGGGGGTGGCAAAGTGGTTTGTCGCCTTTAACAAGGGATCCTGCGATGCGGGAGGAGGGGAGGGGTAGGCAGCGCTAAGACACGAAAGTAATACTTCTTTTACAAACGCGTTTGCAGAGCCTTGGGATCTTTTGAAGCTCCCGGAGTGGCCGGCACCCCTCAGCCGGCATGTCCCGGCCCGTTGGCCCCGCCAACCTCCCGTGGAGCAAACGAGGACGAGGCTGTATCCGATGTGAGTTTGTACGATTTCGTCATGTCCTCATACTTTTTGTTAATAGTTTTCTTTACAATCGTGCGTTTTCTTGCAGTGTTTCATGATGATTGACCGGGCGTTGCCAATCGCACAACCACTCAACCTCGTGGTTCCGTGGGCGGAGCGACGGCTTGAGGAGGAAGCTGTAGAGTGGGTGGCACTTGTAAGTTCCAGCACGTTAGCCTCTTTTTGGCATATGTGTTTCACTATTTTCTAACTGTTTTAGGAGAAACCACACGACCTCTCCCACGCCCCTGCTCCCGCCCCCGCTTGGCATCACCCCCAACCGGGTCCGTCAGCTTCCCCCGTAACCTACGGGAGCACCTTCGGGAATTCCGGGGGCAGCCCGAAGTCGAAGTTGAAGTTGTAGGCCGACCTCAGCCTGTCCAACTCCAGGGCTGGAGGCAGGAGGCGCCTGCCTCAGGGCGTTCGCCGATCGTGGTAAGTGAAGCTATTTTGTTTCATGTTTTGCCATAGTATTCAACATTGATCATACTTCTAATAAAGTTTTATTTTCTTTCAGATTGACCCAATCATTACATTTCATGAGGAAGGGAAAGTAATCCTCACCCCAC